CCCCCACAGAGGAGGGAAGCTCCGGTGTGTACCTCCTCCCAGGACTCCTCTCCTCTCCCCTCCCCTGCAGAGGAGGAAAGCCCTGGCATGTGCCTCCTCCCAGGACTCCTCCCATCTACTGCTCCCCCCGCAGAGGAGGGAAGCCCCGGCGCACACCTCCTTCATGGACTCCTCCCCACTCCACACAGACACCCCCTCACAGAGGAGGGAAGCCCCGGCATGCACCTCCTCTGTGGACTCTCCCCCCACCCCCTCCCAGAGGAGGGAAGCCCCAGCGCACGCCTCCTCTGGGGACTCCTACCACCCCCCTCCCCAGTACGCCACAGACCTGGGTTGTGGTACTGCACCAACTATTTGGGGGAGGGGGAACAGCCAGCACACTTCCTGAAACCCTGGAAGTGTCGCACAGCTGCCCGACTTCCTTCCACCCCGCAGGAAGCCGGCACTACCTACATTGTCAGTGGAGGTAGGTAGTGGGCCTTCTTGGGGGTGGGAGGAAATTGGGGGGACCTGAATGCCTTGCGATTGACTGGTTGAGTCCTCCTGATTGACCATTCGATCGCGATCAACGGGTTGGTGACCATGGGGCTAAGGTGTCAATGCAGTCTTTATCTGCCTACATTTCTGGCTGCTATATAACTTTGTCCAAACAATTTAATGCAAGGAGAGACATAAGTGACTTGCCCATCACTTATTGGCCCAATAGAAAAGAGCCATTAATAGATGCGTGAATAATTTTGGAAATTTCTTGCCTGAGGATACTGCAATATCTGCTTTACCCTTAGCAATGGAACAAAATAGCAAGTGGGTGAAGTGAAGCAGATTGTGTCCCATTGAATTCTGCATCTTTTGAGCTTGTATGCAAGGGAACGAACAATTCTACCATTGAGGAGAGAACCTGGAGGCATGCCAGATTCTTTTTTTATACCATTAATAAATCATGCATAAGCTACAAAACAAATGGCAATGTTGCTCTTAGTAGGTTGCTGATAAACTCTTGTGCATTTTTGGATGCCTAAAGTGTTTTAACAGTGAAATGACCAGAACACTGTGTATGCCTACTATCCAATTCTGTTACTGTATGGCTGTAATCAGACACTGACAACAGGTACGACCTTGTTTTGATTGTTTTGGCAGAGTCGGACACAGGTTTAATGTAGCAATATGAAAAGTAACCCATGCCAGTCCCCATTCAGGTCCCTCTTCATCTTGATTTAGTGCTGCAGTTCTGCATGCCCAGGACATCCCTGCTGACTGTGACAATCCCAAGACTGTGGTAAATTTCCTTTGACAGTTGAGGTTTTACAGTCTCAGGTGAAACCATCCTACACACACGGTCCAGGACATCAAGGGAGGGAAAACAGAGCATAGCTTTCTAAATGGGGAGCAGGGAGGAACAGAAAGGCCTTTTCTCCATTCTAGAAAGTCTCCCAGGCCAGTGGCTCTCAACCAGGGTCCTTGTACCCCTGTGGGTACTCAGAGATCTTCCAGGCGGCACTTAACTCATCTAGGTAAGAGTTTCTCGACCTGCGAGGTGCAGTCCCCAGCGTGCTCATTGGATGGGTTTGGGGAGAGATCACAAGTGCAGGGCCATCATTAGGAGGTGGCAAGCAGAACAGTTGCCAAGGGCTTCACTCCACACAGGTGCTCTGTGAAGCGTCAACCCTGAGAAGCAGGGTTTGGGACGCAGACAAGGCTCACAAGTGAAGAACAGGCCCAAGTATGATGCTGAAATAGAAGTATAATATTTATATGCCAATTGATTTATTTTATAATGATATGGTAAAAATAAGAAAGTGATCACTTTTCAGTAAATCTGTGACACTTGTGTATTTTTAAGTCTGTTTTTGTAAACAAGTAGTTTTTAGGTGAGGTGATACTGGACATACTTCAGATAAGTCAGTTATACCCTTCTGTCTGGCAAAAGACTGTGTCTGTCTTTTGAATGTGCTCAGATGCTACCTGTGATATGCATGGTGGGAATTTCTAGATAGCAAATGAAATGTAAATCTAGCCATTGTGTAGAAATGAATTCAACTGTCACAGCATCATATGCTGAAGCATCTTTTTATGCACTAATATAACAGGCGATAGCATAGTCCTCTGACTATTTATTGAAATTCTTACATCCAGGGCCATCAAAGAGCTTTTAATGTGCTTTTGCAGGTGCAGAAAAAATACTGCATGCTTTTATATCTTTTTTAGTGATAAAATAGTTAAGTTTTAATTATTTTTTAAAAAGCAAATGGCCTGTTTAGAATAAATGTAGATTTTTAGGACCAATTTGACAATGTTCATTTTAACACTGAAGAAGAATAGAACTTACATGCCTAAGTAGAAGTGCAAAACTAGAAACCACTTTTTTGGCTCAAACTACTATCGGTTGTACCTTCCTTAACTGGGACTTCCTGGTCTGGCAACATCTGTGGTCTGGCGTGAACCATGGATGTTCCTGGACCACAGAGCCCAGAAAGATGGAGATCTGGTGTTGGGGCAGGAGCTCCATAAGGGGTCCCAGCAACTCAGCTGGGATCCCAGAGAGTGTGGGCGGGGAGGACGGACGGCATTGCGGGGAGTTCTGGCCCCAGCAGAGTTCCCTGGCTGCTGGGGCCAGGGAGCTCTAGTCTGGCCACAGCCATGGACCTCTGGCGTGGGCCAGGGAGCTCTGGCCCCTTCCCCGGCCATGTAGCTCCAGTTGCACTTTGGCTGCAGCAGCCGGGGAACTCCAATCCCAGCCCCAGTGGCAGCCAGGGAGCTCTGGCCCGGACCATGGAGCTCCAGCCCTGTCCCTCTGCCACAGCCGTAGAGCTCTAGCCCCAGCCATGGAGCCGGGCGGCTGCGGAGCTCTGCCCCAGCTGCACACTTCTGGCTGTGGTGCTCAGGCCCTGGCAATAGCAGTGCTGAGGAGAGCCCCAGCGGACTGGGGCAGCAGCAGAGGCAGGCTAGAGTCCTAGCCTGGTAGCTGCACAGGCCACTAGGGCAGGGGCCTACTCTGGTCCAGCAAATCCCCTCATTTGGGACCACTCAGGTCTCGAGGGTCCGGACCAGTGAGGTTCAACCTGTATTTTTTTTTTAAAAGGGATCTCTTCTGGCATTAACTACCAGTCTACCAAGAGCCTAAAACAGTAACATCAGCCATGGGCTACGTGCCTTTAATAGATTTTCTTTCTTTTGTAATGCTGGATCCTAAATAAAAGTACTCATATAATTGACGGCGAGGTTGAAAAATTTGTTTGCAGGATCAATTAACATGGGTTTATTTACACGTGCACGAGAAGATACATAATGATTATCTCCTGCTGCACAGTTCAAACATCATCAAAAGCTTTTTAGATGGCTTTTGTATTTCATAAATTGTTAACATTTTTCTTTAAAACTTCATCAACATATCTGAAATGGGCCAGCTGTAATCCTACAGCATCAGATTAGGAGGTTAATAAAGGACACTGGATTTTTTCAAAGTATAATTTAATGCCAATATTACCAAAGGAACTAAAATAGTATTTTCTGATTTTATATACAGATAGAAAAACTCTTAAGAGCAGTTGCTGATGGAGATCTGGAAATGGTAAGTTCTTAGAATATTCTACATCAAGTCACTGAATTTACAGCTATCCTACTGAAATTGAGGAAACTATTTACACATAATATTGAATGGAGAATGCATAGTCAATTTCATTTTAGAATATATGAATCAAGTGCTGATTATCTTATGCTGCTGTGAATATTCATTTCACATTCCAAATGTACTCTGCTAGCAATATTTTTTAGTCAGCAATTTGAAATTACTTGGTGCTGGAGAGAATAATTTGGATCTGAGCAAATATAAAACATTATCTGCTAAAGGAGAAAACCATGGATATAATTCTTTTAAAACATGCTCCTCTTTACTAATTTATTTGAAATACCTTAATTTTATTATTTTATTTGGTGCCCTTGTGATTTTAAAAATAAAACAAACTCCATGCTGATGTATCCTGTGCTTTCTTCATCTAGAACAGAGTTTTTCAAATGTGTTTAGTAGAAATCTAGCCCAAATCAAGAATTGTTTATAGTGTCTTCCAGCTCAGATAGTTTCAGGGCACTCTGTAAATGCATATTAGAAACTGCTTTGTTCCAATTATTCTCTAGCATCAACTTATCTAGGGAGCAGGGTTCCAGGTTTCAGAATTGCTTACCACTGGAAAAAATGGGACACTAGTGAATCCCAGAAAAAAAAAGTCTTATTATCTTCATGCTTATGCTAGTTTTGCTCTGGTGTATCTATATTGGCTTCAATAGAATTTCTTCAGATTTACTCCAGTATCAATGAAAGGAGAGATGGAAAAGTCACTGTTCCTGTACTACTATTTCCCTTTTTGAGTCCTTGTTCTTTTTGCTGCTCCACAGATTTGTATCTTCATCTCTATGAATAAGGCTTATGGAGTTTGGAATTCTTTTGGGGTGCCAGATTATCAGGATACTGTGTTTTTTCTGTTGTAGTATCTCTTCTCATTTTTTAAATTCTAATAATACGTGCACTATGATCCCTTGTGAATAAAAGCACAGCTTTAAAAATGTGCACATAACTCCAGTTTGCATGTGCAAAAAACTTAAACTTCAAGAAAATTTGCAACTGAATTTCCCTTCATGTGTTACAGCAATTATGAAAGTTTGAAAATTGGAAAATACTTCCTGTACTCCAGATTGCCAGTACCTTTTGTAGAGACTGATCAAAGCTCCAAATTAATCTAAACAGAAAATTTCAGCTTGGTGATTTTGAACATTCCCTGTTCACATTCTTTGTACAGTATTTATTTAACACATTTGTATATGTGTACATACTTTAGGATAAAAGTCTGGCTTTTCTTATTTAGTGTTTGTGGCAAAAGCAGAGACCATGAATGAAAAGTTAAGTTGTTTTTTAAATTAAATTAATGAAGATTGCCTATCTCCTAGAACTGGAAGGGACCTTGAAAAGTCATTGAGTCCAGTCCCCTGCCTTCACAGCAGGACCAAATATCATCCCTGACAAATTCTTGCCCCAAATCCCTAAATGGCCTCTGCAAGGATTGAACTCTCAACCCTGGGTTTAGCAGGCCAATGCGCAAACCACTGAGCTATCCCTCCCTTGTTTTACTATGGCATCAACAAGTAGAGTAAAAAATGGGTTTAAATAGTACATAATTTGGGCATATTTTGACTTTTGTACTTCACTTCCAATAAAGAGTTGACATCTACAGCACTATGAACATGAACATTTATAGCCTATAATTTGCATTACTTACTGTCTGTCTTGATACATTTCAGCTACTATAGCAATTTCCTTCTTTTCTTCTGAAACACTAGAAAATTATGGTACGTTTGAAGACATGTTACTCAAAAATAGCAGCTAACTATTTTTTTTAAATGAAGGTTCTTAGCTGGGAGTATTACATGGGTGTTTTTTTTTTAATATTCATCATAAAATAGAAGATGGTGGAAATCCAGCAAAAGAGTGTAAGGTATGCTGGGTATGTGTGGTATGTAGATAATGATTCTTTCTAAATATTACCATAGATGTGATACATACCAGGATTAACAGATATGTTGATATGGCATCATACAACCATGTATCCGAATATAATATATGTAGAAGATAAGTTGACTATACCAGTCAGATGGTAGTTATAAGTTTACCTACTAACTCAGGGCTACTCAACTTTGAAAGCCCCGGGGGCCACAATGATACTCACAGCACATGCTGCATAGCTTCTTTTACACTGACAGGCATGAATACAAAGATGAAGGCAAGACTACACAACACACAGGCCTCATTTCAGTCAGTTCTGCTGATATTAATAAAATGCAATATTTACCCGATTTCCACTCATATGACAGCACTTTTAATGAGCAACGATAGTCCAGGAATTTAACTACTAAAACACACATCAACAGAAGACCATTATATTGACTCCTTTTTCGTTTTGGCTCCCACCTGCAGGCCGCAAACAAACAGGCCGCAGGCTGCATGTGGCCCACGGGCCGTGTGTTGAGTAGCCCTGTACAAAGTGATTAAGAAAAGGAAAGAACCATCGGTGGTACTGTATGCTCATTAGTTAAGTAAACATGTAAACCCTAGATTTGCACATAGAGATATCTAACCACATTGACTATTTCAAGGTCAGCCTGACAGTCATTGTCAGGAATAAGATCAGAACACAGGTCAGCTGATTGCTAGAGTTATGTCTAGTCCTTATTGACTCCTATAGTTAAACATTTTAACTTTGTGAGACTTTTTTCTAACCTGTAAAATGGGATAGTAATACCTACTTGAAATAGGGGGCTCTGGACCGACACCTTATATCCTGTTTATTTTCAGATTTACACATGGTGAATATTGTTGCCCCGTTTTACATATGGGTAACCTGTGATGAAAGAGAGAAAGGCCCATATTTTTAAAAGTGGCATTTGATTTTGGATGCCCAACTTCAGACATCATGAGTCTGATTTTTCTCCAAAGGTGTGAAGGGCCTGTGGTTCCCATTAGCTTCACCTGGAGTTACAGTTGCTCAAAGCTCCTGAAAATCAGGCCCTAAATGTCTCAAGTTGGACATTCATTGTGTTGTAAGATGAGGCCGCTTTTGAAAATGCTGCGTAAGTGTCTAGCCAGGAAGGCACTTGAGACGATTCAGGGATCTTGTGTGTGCTGCTTCTCAATCATAGATGTTTTTATGAAATTGTATCATGACATTACTGTGCCATGGAAAGCTTATATGGATGTGGATTTGCTCTGAATTAGCAAAGTTTGGGATAGAAGGTTTGCTCCTGCTGAGAGAAGATGCTTTTTCCCTTGGTCTGAAGGGAGGGTGGTGGTGTATGTAATGGAAGGATACCAGGAGGAGAACAAAAGAAGCAGGTGACCCCAGCAGATGTCTTAAGAAAGGACTGAAAGAAAGCTATTTGCTTCAGATTAAGAGTAGGGAAGCTGCTGCAGGGGCAGAGAAGGCAAGGGGGGCAGAATACCCTGCTTGCTTGACAGAACACAATTATCCCTCACAGACATATAAGGGAAGGGTAAGCTAGTGAGGAACATTGTGTTTAGGATGTTTTATTGTTCTGTATGATCTCTGCTCTCCTGTTCTGTGATTGAATATAAAGATCATAAGGATGGTAGACTGTACAAAGCACGTTTGTATTGACTGCTTCATAGTTACTGCATTTTCCTGAAGGAATTAAACAGTAAAGCAGAAGGTTCAGCACTTTTGTCTAGTGCATTAGTCTGAGGCCTGGGTCTTACTGTGGTTCAGACACTGATATGTTGTGTGGGTGTGGGCGTGAGAAACTCAGGTGAGTTGCCTGACTCTCAATGTCTCATGCATATGCTGTGAGGATTTACCTTCTTAATGACTGAGTTTGTATATAAGAATAAAGTCAATGTGCACAAATTAACATTAATTTGCACAAGTTACTTTTCTCACTAGTTTTGCCACAGTCTAAGACATACGAGGAAAATATATATGACACATTACTGAGGTTTTAGCTGGATAGACTGAGTTCCAATACTGATGAACCAATATGGGACTACGCAGAACACTGAGAAGTGCCACCTCTGCATTCTGATGACAAATCTCTTGCGCTTATATCTTGTGGTTTCTCTCCCTGCAATAGTTGAATGGAATTGTGTGTCCTCTTGTAAAACTGTTCATAATGAAAGACTGACTGGGATGGGTTCCAACTGTGGGTATCTGTTAAAACTATTATTATTTTAAATCCTTCTTGTTCTTAACAATCTGAAACCTGTTTCCATAGGAACAGAAGCAGCACTAGAGTCATTAGCAGTGTTGTAGATTTCTGCTGTGACTGCTAGATGAACTTTGCAAGAGCAAATTTTTAAACAAAACCTAAGGAACCTGAAGATCTAAAAAAATCTTGTGCAAGAAGGAAAAAAAAAGTTCTTTGTCTCTATTATAGCATCTGCAAAAGCTTAGATAGTAGATTTATTCAGACTGCAGATAACTTGGTTAATTCAGAATGTCTTTGCTCAGTGGCTGGTTCTTTGGAAGAAAACTTATTTTGCAGATAAAAGTAATTTGATTTTTGGTAAGCTGTTCGGTGGTCAATTTTTGTTGTTGCAAAGGTGAGGGGTGGTGTTGAGAGAAAACCTTCGCACACCAAAAAAAGACTTAATTTTATGTCCAATGTTGCTTTCAGAGGTACTGGAATTGCTGGGGAGAGTTTCCTGCCACAGCCTGTCATTTTGATTAAACAGCAGATATTTATGTCCTTCCTGGACGGTGAAGGCCAGTAAGGAACTACTATGTTCATTACTAGTGGAGATTTCTGAGAGTTGTGTTAGAGTGCTTACAACCAAATGTTTTGAAGGAAATTTTTGTGTGGGTTTTACACAGGAAACCACTGCTTGTGGTGAATGATGATTATCAAGCTTCCATTTCTGAGTAAATCAGCAGATAAGTTTGTGGTAAGATAATTCTCTCACAATATGGACACTTCAGATCTCCCTCTGCTCTAGGACCACACCTGACCTTAGTACAGAGTCTGCCTGCCTACCTTGATGAAGATCTTGTGTTCCTACTGGTATTAGAAGACCCGTCCGTTTTCATACCTAATAGAAGCTTTTGGTTCTGTTAATCATGGAGGGGCATTGATTTTTGCATAAACCTTAGCAGGAGTAAATGCTGTTTTTCAGTAGCTTTGTTCTTTTCTCTGAGAGGTCCCAGTGGAGGTGTTAGCTAACAACTGCCCATTTCCCCAAAAAGTCTCAGTTGTGGGATCTTCGGGTTCTATTTCCTTGTCTCTCTCACTCAATTTGTAGAGAGGGCAATTTGGGAGGAGATAAGGGAGAGGGCACGAAGGGCATTGTTTTCAGTATGGGAATTACACCCAATTTTAAATTTTTCTTGAACAGCCTAGATGACATAGATGAGTGCCTTAACTAATGTCTGTTTTCAGACAAGCATGATGGCTAAAATTCAATCCAGATGAGTTTGAATTAGTGATAGTAGTTTGAAGGAAGGAGTTAGAGAATGTAGAAGAGACAACACTGGCCCCTTCAAGGGTATTTTACTGCTATCAGTTGCCCTAAATCAAATGGCAACTTGGACAGCATATTAGCTCTTTAATTGTCTTTAAACAGTTAATTTAGTAGGGACTATAATAGCTTCTTACTATCCGCATCTGGCCAGGGGATTACAATATTTTCTCTCTGATGCAGACCTTGTTACAAAACAAGTCAGTATGGAAAGTTAAGGTGATGCAAAATGCAGCAGCCTGCTTTCTTAAATTGTAAGTCTCATTGAAGAACAATGCTTGGGGACCTGAATTGGTGCTTACCAGTTTCCAGGTAGACTTTAAGATGTTGATTTTATAGCAGCTTTGAGTCTGCTTATTTTAAAGATCACCTTAAAGAACATCTCTGGAATAAATTACATTATTTCTGATGCTTAAAATGTGGCAAATGTTTAACAGAAGCAATAACACATTTTGTCTTCTAACTTATCCAGTGCATGTAGGTTAGCCCACATACTTTTTGCCGGTTACATGGGTGATTATCTGGGTGATGGGGATTCTGGCATGCTTATGCATAGAACTAGCTCTTTACTTAAGCAAATAGGAAATGAAATCAGGGGGAGTTTTGCCTGAAAAAGGCAAACTGATTCAGGCCCAGCTGTGATAAAGTCAGTTGTTTCTTTGAAGCACATAACATGTAATTATTCTTGACATGAAATTGTAGTATTGCTTGTCATTGCCTTTTCTTGTATCCTAGTAGAATGTGTTTTATAGAGTACTTAAAAAAGAGAATCTTTGCTTCAGAATAAATAAATATTATGGATCTCCAGGGAGCTAAGAGTTTTGCAAAACAGAGCTCTTCAGTCCAAGAGTGCTGTACTGATTGCATTTCTGGATTGCATCTCTCGGATATGTAAAGAAACTGTGAAGTGACATACATTAATTAGCAAGATTAGATTATAACAGGTTCATGAGATACTTAGTGTGCGTGTCTATTTAAAAGTGCATTTAACCTTTTGACCAAAATCCTTAGTTAATCCATTGTAATTGGAAAGAGATATGCTTGGGTAGCATATTTAAAGTTTTGGTGAAACGTAAATTCAAATCTCAGCATTAGCTCTGTGAAATTTTAATTGAGAAGGGTTACATATGTAATAGGGCTGCTTGTATTACTCTGTGATAATACAGAGTTGGAGAGTAGAGCCTGCAATGTGAGGACCCTGCAGATCCTGAAACACTTTAGGACAGTGGTTCCCAACCTTTTTTATATCATGGACCAGCAAATTCATTCAAAAACCATTGGTGGACTGGCATTGAAATATTTGCATATTCATTATGGAAATTCATTTATTTGCATATTTGTGTATTCATCATTTTGATTTTAGCCCATGGTATATCATGAGAAGTTACAGTTCTGAGGAGAAAATGTATTGCACCTGTACAGTTTGCAGGGTGGTTAAAAGTTCCCATCCTTGGTACTTTTATACTTTTAAAAGCAGATGATGAACAAAGAATCACGTTGACATGAACTGGCACAAACCTCAGCCTAATCTTCACAATCCGAGCTAAAAGGATTTGAAAGGGCTTGAGCAGAGGTGAATATTGAAGTCTTGATTAGGCAGTAGGAGGTCATTTATAATTTACTTCATGTTTATTTGGTGAACTGCTGCTGGGTGCTTTGTCAACTGTAACATTAATTTTTTAAATGTGGCCTGTAGGGAGGAGGCTCGTTTAGGCTCACCAATTTACTTAGTGTTTGTGAAATTAACATGTACATGTTTGTAATTATCAGGGGGTAGAAATTTGTAGCAATATAAAATGAGACTTTCTTTTTATGCCAGGTTCGCTATCTTTTGGAATGGATAGAGGAAGACATAGAAGAAACTGAGGAAGCGGCCAATACAGTGAATCCAGAATTCTGTCACCCATTATGCCAGTGCTCAAAATGTGAGCCAATGCAAAAGGTTGGAATTTTTCTTTGTTCTGTGAATAGAATAACTTTTGTATTTTTGTAGATAGGTTTCTTTTTTTTAGTCCAGGGAAATAATATTCTTATTCTTCTGCAAGAGGCCTGTGATTAAATGTGCACAGACCTTAATAGAGTTCATCACCTTATGAGATGAAGTTGCTGTACTTGATAATCAAACTGTGGAATGGATTAAGGTGGAGGAGCAGTGTACAGAAGCTTGTTTTGCTTTCTTATGGAGGAATGGAAAACTTGTATGTTTGGCTTTTCTTCTTCAGCACCTTCTTGTGTTGCTTTGGTGCGTGATTTGGAGTCCACGCTTTCTGTAATTTCTGAGTAACTTTGTAAAAGTGAGGGCAAAGCACAGCTCTGCTCTTAGGCATCCAAGTTGTTTCCTTCACCCTCTTTCTGCTCTAGGCATCTCCAGTTTCTCTGCTGATCTGGGTCCTTGATATAACTCATCCCCTCAGCCCATGGAACGTCTGTTACTCTTTGATAATATTTTAGCAGGATATTTCCTGTCCTCATAACTATCAATGCAATAATAAGACTACTTTATTTTGTATCATATCTTTCACACAAACTGAATCTAAAAATCTTCAGAGCTAAATAAAATTATGGAGAATTTTCCCAGTATTTATCATATAGCAGAGAGAAAAATGCCATTGCCATGCCTCCTACTGAGTAGTAGTATTGAATACATACATACTGATGTTTCCTTAGAACACGCCTTGGGTCTCATTTGTGAAAACAAGGGCCGCTCATAATTTAAAGAAAATAGAATGCTGATTATTTGCAATTCAGAAGGAAAAAGGATTATTGTGACTAACTACTGGAATATCTTGCTTCCTGAAACAAGGACTTTGAGTCAGTTTAGTTTAATCAAATGATAATAGTGGAATGACCACCTGGCTCGAATAGAAATATGAAGGCGTTTGATAAGCAATCTTGCAACTACCCCTCTTTGTATACACACAAATACACACTGCAATTGGGAAGAGGGAAGATTGGGAAAGATTCTCTCTCATTGTGAAACTTTGTCTTCCATGCAATTTGAGAGAGCAGTGGAGCAGAACATTCTCTAAGAAGTGTGTAGGGCACATTCCAGTTGGATCTTATGTGACTTTTTCCATAGGCAGCCTCCAAGGAATTAATACCATGCAGCCCTTATTACTGTTCTACTGAGTCAGGGTAATCCTAAAACGCTGTCATATGAATGCAGATCAATATTTTTTAGCAAATCTGCAGAATTTGATTTCCTCATAGGTTGTGATTTCAAAAGACCGTTGCAGTTGCTTGTTTTCACTGAGTTGGTGCCATGGACTGTTTCCACGGGAACTGGAATTAATTTTTGCTGTAGCCCTCAAAAATAGGACCTCAAGTGTGTAAAACAAATGTGATGTGTAACCGGAACTCCTACCAGTCATAACAGACTATATCTCACTAGAGCTAGCAACTAATTTAAGTCTGGCTCTCTTAAATCACATGTCAAAATCAACAATTTTCAGTTCCTGCTAATGAAAGTTCACTGTAGTAACCTATCTTGTTTAAGAAGTGTAAAATAATTCTAGGGGTGGGGGAGCAGAGTGATAATTCCCCAGAGGCCAGTTTTCAGGGGGCACCTTCCTGCTGTGCCGCTTGCCTTTCACTGGCTGACTATGGCTGTGTGTGAGTGTGGCTTGCTCAGGGTTGCTAGTTCCTATACCATCCAGCTGATTGGTTTCACAGGTGTGTCATTGAAAATCTTAAATGTGGCTCCTTATGTATTGTCCATCTGCCTCTTTTACATTTACTATTCAGGTATTTAACTACTCTTTACTCAATAGAAAGTGCAATCAGTTTTCTGCATTCTTCATTCTTTTTCCCAACAGAAGCTTGCAAGAATCCCTGCTAGTGGACTTGGAGTAAATGTTTCAAACCAGGATGGCTATACACCACTACATATGGCTGCAATGCATGGACATCCTGAGTTAGTCTTCCTTTTGTTGAAACATGGTGCCAATATCAGTGCAAAGAATACTAATCATGCAGTACCTCTTCACCTGGCATGTCAGAAAGGTCACTTTCAGGTAAGTGGTTCTCTTCATAAGATATAAGCACAGCATATAGATTTTATTGGGGCACGGGGATTTGCTGAGTAAGTGTGTGTCCTTGGATGGAGGAGACTAGAAAGAGGAGGCGAAGGGGATACATAAGAAAATTCCTATTCCTCCCCCTTCATTCCAGACAATGAGAAGGATGGTTTAAGGTAGCAGAGGCCAGAGTATAATAGATACTTCTTGGTATAGTTCCTAGTGCTGCTTTACGTTGAAGAAGCAGACTAGGGACAGTGAGACTCTGTCTGCTTGCGTAAGGGACAAAGCCTCTTTCTGTAGCCTAAGCATGGTCTAGGCAGAGTTAGGCTGAGGAGTGAGTAAACTAGACACTTGTGTTGGAGAGGGGACACAGGATGAATGTATTCCGTGTAGCTCTACTGAGGATGAATGTATTCCTCCTAAATATTAGCCTTGATTTACAGCTTCAGGGGCTCCCTTCTGAATCCAAAGTGGTGGTGGGACTTGCAGCACCCAGCAGGTTTTCCAACAAGTCTGTCTCGCTTTTCAGGTAGCAAGCTAGGAAGGCAAGATATTGTCACTTTGCAACAGCCAAATGCAAGTGAGTTATAGCTCTTCATTACTACACAATCTGAGAGACCTGGGTTCACCCCACACTTCTGAAAATCAGTAATAGTTCTCAGTGTGTATGTATCTTTATATTATTGAACACACATGCAGATATCAGAATATGTATACAATTTCAAAACACCTGGTTATACACAGTACGCTGTATGTCATAAGAATATGTGTGTGTCCTCTGGAATCCACTGTGTTCTCTCAGGGTGTGTCTACACTACACCCTTAACTTGAAATAAGCTCCGCAATTTGTGTTATGCCAAATTTCGAAACAAAACGCTATTTCAACAAATCCCTTAACTCTCATGGAGTGAGGGTTACAGGGATGCCAGAATAGCACACCTGTTATTTTGAAATATATTTTGAAATAACAGGCATGTTTAAAGAAGCGGAATAGCTATTTTAGGATGCCAGAAGTATCTTGAAATAGCGCCGCTGTTTAGATGTACCCCCAGTGAGTTTCAAATATAGAAACTAAAGATATTTCAGGGGATTCTGGCATCTGAATAGCTGAGGTCTTGATGGTTCTGAGAAATTCACTAGGACACAGTCTTACTTTCATTGGAGATAGTGGAAGTTTTGCCACTGACTTCAGTTGGGAGCATAATCAGGTCTGATTTGGCAGCAGTCAACATCATGAAGTGAAAATTAGGCCTCCTGGAGTGAAAGAACTAACCTATTAACCTGTTACACTAATCTGTCATATACATTCCTTTAATCTGCAAACAACTGTGACACTGAATCCTTACAACTCACCCTGTGTAGTGTAGCAACAGTGCGAAATGTCTTTACATTCAAGAGAAACACATCTGGGTATATTAAAAATGATTTGAGTGTCAGCTTCCATATACAGGCAGCTGGAAACTTTTCATTACAAGTAGAATGGCTTCCCCCAAACTAACCCTTTCAAGAGGACTTCTAGATTGAAAAGATTTTAGTTTTGTGGTTGTTAGCCTCACAAGCTCAGACTCATTTCTGATATCCAGGCTGTGGCACAGACTTTTAATGTGCTTTTTAGGAACGTTTTTGAGGTTGAAATTGATTTAATCAGATTATTAACTCCTTCAGGTAGGGACTATGTCTTCGTATGTGTTAGTACAGCTCTTAGCACAACATGGATCCAAGTCTTGTTGAGGAGAAGGGGAGGCTTGATTTTACTGATGACGTTCTCAGCCCAGGGTGTATATTTTTAACATTACTTTACTAGAATAGATTTGTTTTGTTCTGGAATAAAAGGCCTTGACCCTAGTCCATATCCCAAAGAATTGTCATTGTTTATGTGTACTTTTTTATTATAATTGCATGGATGTGTCAAAAATGACAAATTGAGCTTCAGAATAATAGTTATAGGTCTTGTCTAGACTTCACCAGGAGATCAGGGCTGCAGGAATTGACCTCCCAGGGGTCAGTTTAGCATGTTTAGTAAAAACCCACTAAATCAATTGCTGATTGTGCTCCTGTCAAATCTTGTACTCCTCCGGAGTGAGAATAAGGGATGTCAACAGGAGAGTTTCTCCCGTTGACCCCCCCCCTGCTGTGGTAATTCAAACTAAGGCACGTTGACTCCAGTTATGCTATTCCCATAGCTGGAGTTCTATATCTTAATTCCCCCTAGTATATACCTAACCATAGTCTCCACATAATTAATTTACTATATATTTTAGAGAGTTTGTAAGTTTGATCAATAACTTCTCCTAAATAGTAAGAGCTAAAACCACCAAATTCGGTATACAGCTTCCTTTTATCATAACTTAAAGCAACGGAAGGGTTTGGTTGTGCCAGGAAAATGGGATGTGATTGGAATTGGATTGGTTTCTGCTTGGTTTTATGAGATGCAAACAGAAAGGAAACCAAGTTAGCAAATAAAGTACATTCCTCAAAATAAACGTAACTGATTGAATGTTGAAAGATGCTGAACCAAGATGAGCCAGAACCTGCAATAGGATTGCTTCTCAATTAACCTTACAGAAAAGAGGCAAAATGGAGAAATTTGGAGTAGTGCTCCATTTTGACACAGCTAAATCAATGCTAAAGGTTTGAAAAATAGAAGAAAATGTTATTGGAAACCAAATTCACTGTAGCCCTTTTTTGTTAAAACATAGAGAGTGATAAGAGTTTATAGGGATGAAGAAAAAAATACAGAGCAAGAGGGAAGTTAAAAGTTTCTGTGTCTTTAAAAAAGCCAACTCTTATGTTTAGAAAACTTCTCTGAGAAAGAGAAGTTCCTCCATGCTTCAGTAACCATTCCCACAGTACTGAAATTGTTTATGTATGGTCTTTCTCCATTTTAATGACCTGAAATGTCAGAATAATGTAAGTGCTGGCTCAAATGGAACCATTTCACATCAAACATGTTGTAATAAATGTTTTGTGCAACTGGCTTTCATGGATACTTTTATTTATTTTTACACTTATTTCAGCTCATGTTTAAAAGCTTCTGCCTCATGTTTAAAGATTTTGAAAGAAACCATTTTAATAGCTGTCTGCTAGCAGCAAAATTTCTTTGCTACCAGACCTCATGAAATTAGCCCTCTTTAGAGTGGGGGAGAGACTATTCTAAGTAAATTTCTTCCCCTCTCCATTTCATTGCCTGGCTTAGGCTCCCTTATGCATATACTTCATGCATTTTTTATTTGTGTTGTGCTCTGTTTTTCTACTCCAAGGATGTGTAGTCATTGTGTTTCTTTTACATGCACTTACTGCTGTATTTTTAGATTGCTTGTGATCAGCACTGAACATACCTGATTTTAAATTTAGCATAACGCTGATCCTGGGATTGAAACTTCCTTCTCCCCTTCAGAAAATTTTAGCCAAGTGTATCCATTTCATCCAAAGGCATGTCCATCCCCTGGGCTGTCTCCCACTTCACGGAGGAAGAAAATATACCCTAGAACTGTGAAGGGAAAGACAGTGTGTATATATAATATATATATATATATATATATGCATACGCATATCTGTGCCCTTACTGTTGTGATTGGAGTGCTCTCTAAAGCCAGAGCAGGGAGATGTGCCACTTGATGCTCTGAAAGTTGTGACAACTCCCTGTTTGGTACCAGACTGAGCTGGGGACATAGGAAGTACAGAAGGAGAAAAATAATCTAGGCTGAAGTGGAGTGGGAGGGAAGTGGGGAAAGTGATTGATGTAGGGGAGACAGTAAATGAAAGGGGAAAATACTGGATGTGAGAGAGCAGATGTTGAGGACAGAAATTGGGAAGGGGATGAGAAATCTGAGAGAAAAAATGGAAAGGAGTGTGGAAAGGAGAGAGGAAAAGGCAGTACAATGGAATCAGGAAGAGAACTTTGGGGGAGGGGGAGAGAGAGAGAGAAAGAAAATACTAAAATGTAAACAAGAAGAAAAAGAGAAAAAGATGCCCACAACTTCTCCGGGAAAAAATACCAGGCCTCAGCGTGCCTGGTGACTGCCGGCAAGGCCGGCCTCAGGCCGATTCGGGCCCCGCGCCCCTGAATTTGGAAGTGCCAGCTGGGTCTCTCCCCCGGTACTGCCTGGCGTGGGCCCCCCCGTGTGTCCTCCCACCCCACCCCCAGAGCGTCCCCGCTGTGCGCGGCTCCTCCTCACCACCTGCTGCTGCCCATGTGCGGCGTTGCACGTGGGTGGGGAGGATGCCCAGGCTTGACGTGACGTCACGGCCCGAGATTTTAAAAGTCTTTGGAGGCACATGGCAAGGCCACGCTGGCTCTGGCGGTCTCCGGCCCCGCAATATGGAAGGCAGAAGGTAGGGAACGGGCTTGGGCGGAGGCGGCAGCGGCGGGCTTGCGTGGAGGGGGAGGAGTGGAAGGAGAAGGGACAGGGTGCAGGAGAGAGAGACAAATGCCAGGGTGCCAAGTGCAGACAAGGAGGGAAAGGGCAGGAGGGGAGGTGTCAGTGGGAGGGAGGACAGGGTGATGCTGGGAGAGGAGAAGAGAGGGGAAGGGCATTAAGGGCTGGAGGGGGAGGTGCTGGGAGAAGGCTTGAAAAAAGAGGTGGGCATGAGAGAGGTGGGGATGGAGCAAGTGATGTGTGAGGGCACAGAGGGGAAGGAGGGGATGGGGCAGAGAGTGCTGAGGGGGTGGGTATCAGGTAAAGAGAGGGCAAAGGGGGCAGGGACAATAAGGGAAGGGGGAGGCACCAGGAGGGTACAGGGCTAAGGGAAGGTGCAGGTGCCAGAGGATTCTGGGGTGAGGAGGAGGGGAGAGCTGGCCACCAGAAGCAGCACTGGGTGGGGGAATCGGGGCAGGCTGGGGAGATTGGGGGGCCAGTGGAAGCAGGGCTGCCGGGGGGTGCGAGGTTGGGAGCAGGGAGCTGGCCGGGGAAGATGGGGGGGGGGGGGGAGGAGAAAGA